TAAGGAAAGTATTAAGACTTTATTAGCAAAAAAGTATAAAAACTTCTTGTGAACAACTTTTTTGTATGTGGTCAAAGGATTAGTAGAAAACATTATTCATAATTTATAAATATAACCTTAATTCAAAAAAATTTACATATAAGTTTATCAATTTTTTTACTTTATTATTGATAAATAGTTGTTAAATTTTTAATAAATAGTTAATGAACCTTTAATGAATAATTTAATGAATAGTTGCTAGTTTTTTAATGAATAGTTAACAAATTTTTAATAAATAGTTTTGATGAATAGTTGCCAAATTTTTAATAAATAGTTGACAAATTTTTGACAAATTATTAATAAATTAATGCCAAATTTTTATTGAATTATTAATAAATAATTTTGTGACAAACTTTTAATAAATCATTGTCAAATTGTTAATGAATTATTGACAAATTTTTTGACAAATTGTTAATATGCTAATTTTTGTAATTGCTGATTTATTTATGTCATTTTTTTGTCGAATTGTTCATTTTTTGCTAAATATTATATGAGTAGCAATATATTAAATAATTTTTTTCTAACTAATAATATAATTGTATTATTAAATTAATATTATTATTACTTCTTTATTTATTTGCAAAAACTATTAAGTGTTTAGATGGTTCAACTTATTTAACTTTATTGATTCTTTATCCTATAATTTAAAGTTTTTTTAATTATTTGCAATCAAATATTTAAAAACTTATATATCAAACTATAATTTTAATTTGAAAAAATATTTTAAAATCAATGAAAAATTGATAATTGAATTTTGAAGATTTTGGACTTTTAGTATCTTTAATGAATTCAAGATTTAAATCTCTTGTTTTTATTTCTTCTTTAATTAAAGAATGTATACTTTCTTTTGTTTATAGTTTAATTGAAATATTTTCTTAACAATTATCTTTATTAAACAAAACTATATTTCCTATGTTTCAATTTTTCAAAAATTCTAATCATGAAATCTATACAATAGAAGAATCAGAGTTAAACATTTATTTAAATATTCTAACTCTTCTTTCAACTAAAAAAAATAATCCTATTTTATAATAGAAAAATAATTATAATACTTTTCTTAATTATCAAAAATCATATGTACTTATTTATCTATTCTTGCAAGTTCAGTTTCAGCTGAAAGGCTTTTTTCTAGTGCAAGTAATATTCTTACTGAAAAACAAAATCGCTTAAATCCAACTACAGTTTCTAATCTTTTGTTTTTGAATCAAAATTCAACTTTTTTTACCATTGTTTCTAAATAAAAAAAATTTTTTTATGTACATGTATATGATTAACCAATAAAAAATCGGAGATCTATTTCTAAATAGAGATACTGTAGCTAAATAATCTAATTAATTGACTAACCGGTTAGAATCACTATTCAAAGTTCAATACAATTATTTTCAAGATCAAACTCAAAAACTTTTTATATCAACAATAAGTTGATTAGACTAAAAATAGAAGTTTAACTATAATATTTGTATGCATCGTGTTTACTGTATGTATTCAATTGATTAATAAACTCTTGATCTATCCTGGCTTCATATTATTCACCAATTAGAGTTAATTCATTTTAAAGTTTAAATATGCCGTACTGTAAGAAAGTTTGATTAACAAAAAAGCAATTTCGTTATACATTTACAGTATATCTATAATTGTGTTGGTGTTATATACTGTATCGATATTTTGATAGTATTTTCGAATCTATTGTTTTATTTTGGATAAATAAGTTCAAATAAAAAGAACTAAGCGAAATTTATAAAAAAATAAAAAATAAAAAATAACAGGAGTCCGACAATCTGATAATCAGATAATTTTATACAAATGGTAAAAAAAAAGAAAAATATATACACAATCTAACCCAAAAACAAATCTAATTTATCTAGCGAATAATCACCAAGTAATATGAAATAAAATGCAATATATGCGTTGACGTTAAAAAAAAATGAATCTATACAGGATGCTCTAATGTGAAGTGTCAGATGTAAAATCCTTTTATCAAAATTCTCGACCCCTAAACGATATCTCTAACAAACTCATACAGTCCCGTTTTTCGTCGTCGTTTTTCCAAATATTCTTTAATTGTATTTATATGCTTCTCCGGAATCCTCCTCTTCCATCCGCTAATATATAAACTTTCCAAATCTGCCTCGCAGTTCTTCAAGAATTTATCCAACGTGTCAAATATTATCCAATTCAAACACAAACTCAAGCGTTTCATTTTCAACGGTAATAATTTAGCCAGCTGCGGCAAGAAGTCCTTGAATTCCCGATGATTTCCGCACGAACCGGCAAGCTTCAAGGATACAAGGTTATCGTTTTTGGCAAGAAGAGAAACCAATTGACAGGTCTGCTCGTTCCTAAAAGGAATTGTGATGTGGGTCAATAGATTCGGCATGCAATGGGTCACCACAGATTCTAAAATAGGCAGGGCAATGTCCCGAGAGACCTCGTCTGTATAGTGAATATCTCGCAGAGAATGGAAGTTCGCCTTCAGCATTTGAATGAAGGTGGTGGAAAGATTACACGATAGCAGGCGAAAGTGAAGCGTACGTAGTTGAATGAATTTGGTGGTGGTCAAGGGATACAGGATGGATTCTCGAGAGAAGTGGCAGTTTGATATTATCAAAGTCTCAAGATTGATACAGGTGGATAGGGACTCGAATGCATCCATACTTTCGTAGCCTTTTTCGTTATTCGGATTATGAACGTCATCTCCTTCGTTCACCTGAAGGTCATAAAACTTGCAATAAGTCAGTTCCAGGAATTTCAGTGTCTTTGCTTGATTACTCAATCCCATTATCGGTTTCACGATACGACTTCCGTATCCAAATATCTTACAATATCGCAACCCTACTTGAGACTTGATAAGCTCACCAGCGGAATCGTGTCGTTTTTCCGGAAGGTTGTCGAATGTGTAACCCACAATTTCGAGTTTTTTTAGGTTCCTGCAGTAACTGCCAATGTCGGTGAAGAGGTCGCGCGAGGAAACGCATGATATGGAAAGGTCTCGGAGGTTTGAAAGGAATTTAGGAGCGTTGGGATGGTATGGAAAGTATGGATAGGACTTGAATTTTAAAGTGTCAGAGAAGTCAAGGGCCAAAGAATGGATGAATCCGTTGTGGGTCATGAAGAGACGGCATAATGCGCGACAAATCAAGCTTTGTCCGTTCTTGATTTTGGATCTGCGAAAAGAGGTGTTTGGTCAGGCACATTTTAGAAATGATTCGACATCACGAACAATAAGAAACTCACATATTCTCGGTATCCTGAGTCTTTTCGAACCAAGCTTTGGCGGCCGTATAAAGTCCTTGCATACTGATCTCACTCAAAAAGTCAGCATACTGAAACGCCGCTCTTCGAGTTTTGCATTCGCCCAAATCTATCCCGCCATATTCCAAATTATGTTTTTCGTGTTTGCTCAAACACTTCAAAAGGGTGTTCACTGTGCACGGTGAACACATCGACGAACGGAAGGGGTTGCGCCAGAAGATGGGAATTGTGACGCAACACCACAACTTGGAGACTTGTAAGCATGAGTTGAGGGTGCGAAGGTCGGGTTGGGTATAATAGAATATTTCATAAAGACATTCGATAGGTAATGATGGGATAGTATTTTCGGCAGAGTCATCCGAACCAACACGTTCACGTTCATCGTCCTTGTGCGTATCATTATTTCCTTCATCAATTTTCCGACTCCTTTTGGCCACATTCCGAACCCTTTTCCAAAACATTCGGCACGATTCACCAATTCTTCCCCTTTTACCATCTCTTCTCTTGACATCATCACCTTGTCGATTATTTCCATTCTCGTTAAGTCTATTCTCGACACGCGCCTCATTACCCTTTAGCTTATGGGTTAACCACTTGGTAATCTTTTTAACGGATTTCTTGGTCATCTTGGGATATGACTGTAGCGATTCAAAGTCTGACCTTGATCACTAAACTACCAGCCCTACATTTAATAAAAAAAAGATGACAAATGAAAGTGCGTAAATGGAATGGAGTGAAATGGTTAAGAGAAGAATGGACGGAAAGAAAAAAAAAAAAAATTCGACAAGAAAAGGTCAGATGTATGCACGCGAGTTCTTTTCATGTCAAGTATCTATCATATTACCGGTGTATATATACTTATAATGTAAAGAATGTACACGGTAAACCTGGTTGCAGATCTCAAAATAAATTCCGAATTCCGTGAACAAAGAGATTAACAATATTAGTCATTTGACGTTTATTTATTGTTCATAATCCTCAAAGGTTAACCAGACGACTAATAAAATATATACTATACACGTATATACTGTACAGCATACTGTATATATGTACAGTACAGTATACTGTATATTGTGCCCATATTCCTAAAACTAAAAATAACTATGAACACAGTGCATGCACGTATATTACATTCACCTTTTAACGTAGGCAACTGTGTTTTTGTTTGTCTTCACGGTAATTCTCTCATGGACGCACAAATGCTAAACTCTTGAAAGCAAACAATTTGGCACAAAGATTTTCATTGTCAAAATGTTTCGGATGGGAATATTTGTTGAACGAAGGTAAAACTATGACTTTTGATATTGTCGGTGAAAGGACTTGCTTCAATCAAATTGCAAGGGTGACGTCGAGGTGATCATGAGGCGTTTTGCAAATGCCAGATTTATCACGTGATCAAGCATGCGTACTTTCTTTGCATAGGAGAAATTCTATTCTAGTAATCTCTAATGAGATTTTTCGAATTCAACGCAAATATTGCTGACTCGACTTGTGACATTCCTTCAGGGCATGATGGAAACAACATTTGTGCATGTACGGAGGCTGTGCACAATGTCCGTTGAAGTAATTGCATACCCACTATACGTATATTCCAATATTGATTGTTTCTTCAGGTCAAAATATTTGAGAAGATTATCAGAAATTCTCTTGAATTCATGTTCCGTCGACGAGAAAAATTTGCTCGCCAAGCGAAGAACTTTTAGAACTTTCTAATTTAAGGATGACCTATTTTTACACTTAGGGACGACCTCGGTGATACAGTGATACAGCAGAGATGTTTTTAATTTCTGTCAGAATTTGTCATTTCCCAAAGAAGCCGTTAAGGAATTATCACGCCTTGGAATTCTTAGAACAAAAAAAAATCACAAGCCACACCTGAAAATGGCAAGTGGCATATTGGGCTATTGTGGCGTGCCTCATCTTAAAGAGAAAAAATAATTTATTTATTTTTTTTTATTCAAAAGATTTTTTATTCTTTTTCCTTCCATCTTCCCGTTTTTCTTTTCGTTTTACTCGTCTCTCTAATAATTCACCAATGCACATACAACACATCAGGAAACATATTATCAAATTTATTTTACCCGCAAACCGACTATACCCTGCCCTCGAAAAATACGTGGATTCCATAAATAGGCAAAATAATAAAAACCATTTCATGATTCTTGATTTCAGTGCGGTGAACGGTTTTTCTTGTTCGTCTCGTATATCTTCAATATTTGGATACTCTTGAGATCCCGTACTTTTTGAATTTTTATTTCGCGATTTAAGAGATTCCGTCGAAGTTTCAGTTGGTGGAGAGTAGAATGTAAAATGGGTAGAAGTTTTTCCCTTGCTTTCTTTATTTTGGCTGTCACGAAAATGACAATTATTTGGATGATAATTCTTTTCGCATTCGCATTCACCTTCGCCTTCGTCGTCATCAATTTCTTCAACGGTCACTTTTCTTGGAAATGATTTACCGGCCGCTTTTCGTGAAATCTTTGTATAACGGTATTCTTGCTCGTCGTCATCACCAACATCTTCAATGGTGGTTCCTCTTGAACTTTTTAACACAGATGATGTAGAAATCCTCATGTTGATGTCACGTTTCCTTCCATCGACCTTCTCGATACCCTCTAAACGGTGATTGTTGTGGCCTAACGATACTAGCGATGATAAAATGTTATCCCTTTGATCTGCGTTGATTCTCTCTTCTTGAGTAAACCCGGGGAAATAATTATAAAGGTCGTCGCCCTCTTTACCATATAAATTATCAGTACAATTACTATTGATATGATGCATGTCGTTTGAATGATGATAATTGTTTTCTTTTAAATTGTAATTATCACGATTGTCGAGTAGAGACAATGAAGATACGGGTGTTATTGGACTCTCAATCTTCGTTATTTGCGACCTCCTGGCGGCCATTATTGAAGTGGGACATATGAAAGAAAATATTTTCTGATTCGAAGTAGAAACAGTTGCGGATGTGTTATCAGTTGTTGAAAATAGGGTGTCGACCTTTTCGTTACTGGATGGGGAGTTGTTCGCGGGAGAAAGAATAATTTCGGTACTTTCAGGAACAGACGACTTCAGAGAGCTAATTGTGATCAACGCTTTCTCGTTTTCTTCTTGGATCATTTCTTCCTCTTCGTCTGAACAGTGTTCATCCTCGCTGTAGTCGTTAAAGGGTAGAAAGAATCCCTCTTTCATTTCATCTGTAACAAGGTCGCTTTCTTCCTCACCGTTCGAGATCATGCCATCTTCTTCGCAGTCGTCCACGATGATGAAATCAAAATACGGTTCATCTTCGAATTTCAAGCCGCCAGACTTTTCGCAATCAACCATGATGCACTTGAAAAGGGTGCCAATGAAGGATGAAATTAAATTTATCAGGGAGAGTAGATTGAAGATTTTGGGTGTCATCGTTTTGAGGTAATAAGTTAAGAGGTTTTCAAATATAAATACGTTGGTTATTTTTAGCAACGAAGAAGGATGACCGTTTTGCGTTGCGAACGAAATGATTTTTTTTTTCTTGGAAGCGGAAAGTTAACGATTCCGTTATTTTATACTCGTAACAAATAAACCGTCGTTTGTTCTCTCGTTATAATGAAGTTTTGCGTGACGTTGAACACGAGAAAACTGTTGTGGTGTTAAAAAGAAGGTCAACGTACGCTGGGTGGTGTTGTATTGTAAAGGAAATGGTTGAAAAGTCTTTGCGTATTATGGTAGATGTTCGTGTATTATTATTATTTTTTTTCTTTTTTTTTTTTTTTTTTGAAAAAAATTTGAGAATATAATACGCGTCGTCGGTTTATATATTTATACGCTAAGCTAT